CTTTGTTATATTTTGTCCCATTTTATCCCTGTTCCCGGTGGCTCACCTTATCAGGTGTCAGTATTCAGGTCCGGACCAGGCAGCTCCCCGCTGCTCTCAGCTTCACCGGGCTCCGTCCCCGCTGCACGTCGACCTGCAGCCTTCCACAGTCCGTGGATTGTCCCGTAAAATCACGTCGGGGTCACCAGGTGTCGTTGTAGAGACGGACACGACACTCAATATCCAGTTACAGCAATCGTCCTTTATTTTACAAGCAGTGCTCTTTTATATCCTCTTAGCTGGTTGCTTATCTGTGCATATATTCTAACATTCTACTTTTGCCCAATCCACTCTCACATCACACACCATTCAGCCAATACAATTGTTGATCATGCGCTGTTCATGCTCTGGGAAAAGCCAGGATGTTTGCCACCCCTTATCTTGTTTGCTCGGATCTTCTCAGGATTCTCCTGTCTCCTCAAGGGTACACGGGTATCTGTTCAGGGTCAGTGTTAAACTTGTATTTTGATCCCTCGGACCAGCCGAGGTCTCCCACACCTTTGTCTCCAAACAGATGCATAGCCCTTCTTAAGGTGATTAAACCTTATTTTTGAGCTACTTGATTCCTGGGAAGGCAAGTCCTTTGGAAAAGGAAAGATTGTGTTTCTGTTTAGTGCAGATGAGCTTTAGGTCTTAGTGGTATATTTTTTAAACTAAATTCCGCAAGAAATTGGTGGTTGTGCTGTGATATCAGCTTTATGAATTTTATAATGCATTGCCAATATTCTACTTTTCCTTACTACAATTATTCTGATATTACTTTTTTCTTGTGTGTGAACTAGCAAAACTGTATATTGAGACTGAGAAATCAGGCAGAAGAGAGTGTGATATTGCACTTACAAAAAAGTGAACATAAAAAATAATTTTGTATTTGATAATTTTGTAGGTACAAGCCTGTGCAGAAAGTGGATGGAGTTGCAGATGGTTTCACAGGAAGTGGTCAACAGACAGGCACATCTGCTGAACAAACTATAATTGCCCAAAGTCAACATCATCAACAGTTTTTAGGTATGAAAAGATGTGTTATACTGATGTATAAATAAAATAAACCTCATTATCACCATGAACATCGTCATACAAATGCAATAATTATTTTAGTTATGTTGCCCTGTTTAAAACTCTCACTGATAACAGAACAAAAAGATACTCATAGAAGCTATATGTTCTATCTTGTAAGACTTCTGCAATATTTAATATGCATCAATGCATCATGCAGATATAAAAGAAAAAATGTGCAATATCTACTTGCATGGTAGATTTAAAATATATTGCAATTGCGATGAAGCATTTTATACAAAAAATGCACACTGAAAATCTTGCCCTAAAAGCTCATTAATCTCCACTGACTTCCCAATTTTTTGAATATGCACATAAATTGGGATTATATTTTTGCACTGCAGTTGTGTTGACCATTGACAAGAAGGTGTATTGAGTTTGTGCTGCAACATTATAAATATAAAGAACCAAATAGTTAAAACCAGAAACCCAGGGTTCGTGTTTAAAAATGTGCATTTTGTGCATTCATTGATGTAGCTAAGCATATCAGTTTCTCAGTTGTGGAAGCAAATGGTAATTTATTAATTTGCTAATGTAAAAAAGCTTATTAAATGTGTTATTGTAATAATTGTACACTTAGTTTTGAGTTCAGATATTCAGATTTTGAAGCACCACATCCTTTGGCCTAACCTTGCTGTTACTGAAATCATTGGGAACCTTAGGCTATAGTTCGCATGTTTTTTCATTTTCCCTTTCACTGTCCCCCCTGGTTGACAGTGCATTTTTCCCCCCATACCAGTGTATCTCTTGGAAACATTTCTGAGAAATAGTAAAAGCACATGTTGGCTACAGTTGAAAGTCTTGTAAATTTCAAATAAATATATGCTGCTGAGTCTACTAAATCCTAACATGCATGACAATGCAAAAACTATTCAGTTGATCAAAACAAAGACTATTAAACTATATTAATCTCTTATGTACTGACATGAATATTCTGCTTCATCCTGTCCTTTTCTGAAAATGTGTCTTAGCTTTTTTTATGTACAGGTACGATATGTATGTGAAATAATTTTTATCTGCTATCTTGCAAGAATAATTTAACATCTTTTGCTTTCAAAAAATAGCTAGCAGGTTTGTTCACAATTTTATTGCAAATTTAAAATATATTGAATATGAAAGACGTTCCTCTTTGGGCATTATGACCTTCTAGACTTTATTTCTGTACATCATCTTTAAATGTTTTCTAATCAAACTGTAGTTGGCACCATTCACAACAGCTTTCTTCTGTTATGTTTTCATGGAAACAGATGCATCTCGAGTACTTCCAGAGTTTGGAGAAGTTGAAATATCTTCTCTGCCAGATGGTACTACCCTTGAGGACATAAAAACACTGCAAAGTCTTTATCGAGAGCACTGTGAGGTAAGAGAAAAGAGGCATTTCACCTAAAGCATTCTTTGAAAATTCATGTCTTCTAGTGAGAATCAGTACAACAGGATGACTGACACAAAACACATTACAGCCAGCCTACTTGTATCTGATGTGCTCCTCATTTGAGCTTATTTTAAGCTCATTTTGCTTATTCCATCCGAAAGGACATTTGCAAAAAGACTTCTCTGGAATTTCTCTCTTTACAGGGAAATAAAATAACATGTAATAGAATACCTATACTGGAATGTAATCATGTGTAGGTTTTGAGAATTTTAGATAAATTGAACTTTTGATTATATATACACACACACAGAGTTTTGCTTTTGTTTATAGGATTTGAAATCAGATTAAATTATTATTTCTAATGCTTATGTTATAAACAAACTCACTTTTTTCTTCAAGTTTTGAAGCAGCAGGTTGTTTAAGAACTTAGGGCCACATTTCATGTTGAATAGCGTGTTTTAAAATTATTGTTGAAGATGCTTTAAAACATGTAATGAAGTAAAAAAAATCATGAAATAGCAGGTTTCCTTTGTTTTTGTAATCATGTTAAAATTTATGTTTAGGTGTATTCACCTGATATATGTGCTTAAGCTCTTTTCTGGAGTCTTCCTTGTATTTGCACTTGGGCCTGATCTGAGTCTCTGTCCAGACTAGTATGGACAGTTGGAAAATTTGTTGCTAAAAAATTATTAAAAAGGATATTATACGTTTATTTATAAACATACATTTTACTATTTTTTCTACAAAATGACCAGGGGGGAGCTATACCCCTGGGAGGAGTTGGGCCGGACAGGGGGGATGAGGTAGATGACTATCTGCACTTGTTATATATTTTTTTAGGCAATAGTGGATGTTGTTGTGAATCTTCAGTTTAGCCTGATAGAAAAATTGTGGCAAACTTTCTGGCGCTATTCTCCCTGTGCTCCAGCTGATGACACAGCTATTATTGAACTGAGGTTAGTAAACGTCTCTTATTGTTTACTGTTCAGCATCATAATATAACAGCAGGAGTCAAATAAAATAAAGCTTTAGTTTTACATATTGGCAAAGAACCTTTTCTGATACCAGTAGCTTTTCAGGTTAAATTTGTGTTGTCTGCTATTTGACATATAGGCTGTTAGTATATGTCAAACTGCAGCCTTGAAATGATTGTATACATTTTCTATTTTTTCCTTTGTTTGGATGACTAAAGTCAAACTATCTTTTCACAATATACTGTCTGGTTCATTTAAATTGCAAGGACCATTTTTATCATATCTCTGCATAATTTATGGGCTGGAGCAGAACTTTGGAGGCTATTTTTCCCCAGTTTCATATGAAGTTGTTAGAGAGTTTCAATTGGATGTAACAGAGAAATTTATAAAGTTTTTATTAAATAATCAATTTCAAAGTCCATTGTGGTTTTCTCATCTGTATGTGAATGCATTTTCATTTGTTACATTTATTCACACCAGCAATCTGAGTGAAATAGAAAGTCGACTTCCAAAAGGAAAACTGATTACTCTGTGCAAAAATGAGTCTATTCTGAAATGGATGTGTAACTGTGACCATGTGATGTACCAGGCTTTGGTGGAGATTCTCATTCCTGATGTCCTTAGACCTATTCCTAGTAAGTTAAACACAGATAACAACTCGTAAGACTGTATTGTGTTTTGTTTTGGTTTATGTGATGATTTTTTTTGTGCCTCACGTGAAACTCCTGGGAATGACTTCGAAGGATGTAAACCTAGTGTGTCATCTTTCCTGTATTGGAGTTGGAATAAGCATTGTATTTAAAGAAAAGGAGAGTGGATATTTCATTGCATTTAGGAAAGTCTCTACAAGTTTTAAGAATATATTTCCCTATGGAATATGCTTTTGTCACTTCAAATTCTAAGTTTTTATTAATTTTAAGATAACAATGGTTTCCTTTACATACTGGCTCTAGTCTACCTGACAGCTGTGAATGCACTAAGGCTCTGAGCCATAATATCGCAGTCCACTGACTTCAGTAGGCTTTAGTTTAAGTTTTTTATATATATAAGTTCTAGTTGTTAAAGCAAAATGTATATGCTTTGTCATTTTATTTTTGGATAATTAAACATTTTTGTGTTATCAGTGGCTGCTAGAACATTATCAGTTTTGATACCTATTAAACCAACATAACACTGTCAAACATTTTGTCTTGTTTATTATTCCAGTCTACTATACTTTCTGTTCTATTTCCATTATGAAGAAATCATCAATCGATTCTAGTATTATGGCCAAGTGACCATTATCAGGAACAGAGTTTTCTTTTCAAAGTTGATTTTATAGTATCCATCATTGCTCAAGAAATGGCTGCTTTTGGTAGTAAATGATTTTAAATTGATTTCCAGGAAGGATAAATTCCATCCTAAAACATTTATTGCATGTTTTGTATGTTGTGTTAAATATTAAAAATAAATTAAATTTACATATATATAAATATATATAATATATATTTTATTAAAAGAAATTATAAAAGAAATATTAGGAACCAACAGGGAAACACTTGTGAAATGCCTCGAAGGAATGAGGCTGTGTTCCTCTAAAAAGGTGACAAGGTTGATAGGCCCACTAAAGTGCATCTATAGCAATGCACACAGCATGGGTAACAAACAGGAAAAGATGGAAGCCGCTGTACACCTGAAAAGCTATGATTTAATCACTATCACTTAAACTTGGTGGGACGAATCACATGACTGGAGTGCTGCAATTGATGGCTATAAACTGTTCATAAAGCACAGGCAAGGAAGGAGGAGTGTGAGGGGGTTACACTCGACATAAAAAAATTGACTGCACAGATCTGTCTTTGAAAAACAGCGATGAACAGGTTGAGAGCTTATGGGTAAAAATAAGGGAAAAGCCAACAAAGGAAACCTTGTGGTTGGTGTTTACTACAGGCCATCTGATCAAGGGGAGGATGTCAATGAAGCATTCTTACTTCAACTACAAGAAGCATCACGCTCACAGGCTTTGATCCTCCCGGAGGCCTTCAATCACCCTGACACTGGCAATCCACATCTCTCAAGACCCTGAACTCCCATATCTCTCAAGACCCTGAACCTCAAGGCAGGGACTGGGGGAATGATGTTTCATCATAGAAGACCAGGTTCGAGACTACCTGAGGAACCTGAGCATGCACAAGTCCATGGGACCCCATGAGATGCTTGCAGGGTCCTAAGGAAATTTGCTGATGTAGTTGCTAAGCCATTCTCCATTATATTTGAGAAGTCATGGCTGTCAGACTACGTCCCCGGTGACTGGAAAAAAGGAAACATTGCACCCATTTTAAAAAGGGTAAAAAGGAGGACCCTGGGAACTACCGACCAGTCAGCGTCACCTCCTTGCCCAGTAAGATCATGGAGCAGATCCTCCTGGAAGATATGTTGAAACATATGGAAGATAAGGAGGG